GAGCTAATTGTCCCTTCAGAGATCTCAAGAAGTCCAAGGAGTACAAACCTGTACCTTTCCTGTGATTACTGTCCTCTAGGGACTAATCTACCTTGTGAAAATATGAGTAGAAGATCTAAGAAGATCTAAGATCTAGGAATACAAGATCTAAGTAAAGAAACAAGTAGAATATGTAAGTAAAGAAATGAACAGGATACTTTGAATTTGCATCTTAAACACTTTTTCCATGCCATGCTGTGGAAATACAATGGAAGCAGAACAGGCAAATGCCATCCATATGTTACACAAAACAACTGACGGAGCATAATGTGAACATTACTCCTGGACTGAATCAAGAGAATGCATTAAAAAATGCATAAGTGGAATACAGATATACATTAACTCGATCTTCTTTTATTACGGAATTAAAAACCATATACCTGTAATTATGGTTTACCTCCATTACAAGCAGAGCTGCCACAGAACTGAACATGGGCCAGCTTTGTGCAGGAGTTCAAAGCCAGTGGATGTTGCCTTATTTTCTTACTAACATCGTCTTTATCCTCTCTTGTCCTTCTTCTCAGTTAACAAGAGTTATGCACTGAAAGTGCTGAGATAAAGCAATGGTAAGGAGGATACTGCAAAAAGGTATTTGAAAAGCAGAAGTAATTTACTACATGTCTGCTTTGTTTTACTTCCTAAGCCTTCCTGTTGTGAAAGGAAATTCATCTTTTTTGGCAGACTCCAGCCTTTTTAGGCCGAAGAGCTCCCCAGGAGCTTTCGAGTGCAGGTAAATGGATGTGAGACTCAAGGAGTACAGTACAAGGAACATGGGATTAATGTTGGGTTTTGCTTTGGCTGTCATGTCTGACGTATAAGAAGAGTGCTGCATCCTTGGTTGCAAGTATTTGAATGTAAAAACCACAAAGCTGAGTCTTCTGCTCATTATTACAGGCCTGAAATGTCACGACTGGAAAGGTCATGTTGCTGGTGGGTGAAGCATGTAGGATCTACACCCAGGTGGGTGAAGCATGTAGGACCTACACTCAGCAGCCTCCACGTGAGGCAGTTGGGGTGCTTCAAGTAGAGCATCTAAAAGCTCAGAGGAAGGGCTGTGGATGGACAATAGGTACAGCCTTTATCCTGCACTCAGTGGGGACCCCAGGAGTAGGCACAGAGGAAGCATCCACTGCCTAATCTAAATAGCACACAGAGTGGTTTTGTCCTCTTCTGTTCTCCTGCCAGTTCGCACATATGTTCTGAGTATACAGCCTGCCCTCCAAAGACCACTTACAGGGGCAATCACAGGGAAGCAAAGCAGGAAGAAAGTATCCAAAAAGGGAGTTTGTTCAAGAGAAAAAAATGGAGACAGATGTAGAGCAACTAGTCACGGCTGGCAGTAAATAGCCCTCTCCTGGAGTGCTCTCTTTCTCTAAGAGGAGTTCACAATATTCCATTTCATATTTCCTTTCTAGGAAGTCAAATCTTTGTTTTCCTGGCATTCATTATTTCTTTTTTTTTTTTTTTTTTTTCCCCTCTATACTTGTTCCCTTCTGTATGGTCTAAAACTGTCTTCTCATTTTCCCTTTCTTTTCTACATTTTTGAAGCACAGTTCTCCCATCTCCCTCTCAGACAGACCTAATTTCTCTGCACTGTCCCAGGCAACACCTTTCACTACCCTCTCAGTCTCTGTGCCATGAGCACACGAGTGCTTCACACCTGCTCCTGTGTTTGAGTCTCCTCTCTTTCTCATGTGCACACCTCAAAATTAAGCAAATGCAACACACAGAGACAGAATATTCATCCTCTCACTCCCATAAACCTGTCAAGGCACATAGGCCAAGAAGCTATCTCCACATAAATCTAAATCTCCTGTGAGGAAGCAATCTACTCAAAGGCAATAAAGCCAAAGGATATATTATTATCTTTGGTGTGGATCCTACTGGGCTGGGAGGTTGGCTGCTGGCTCCTCTCTGAACTTTCCTTCCCAGCCAGAGCAGCCATCCCACAGACAAGTCTAAGCTTCCTCTTCTTGGTCTGATTTCCTCCTCTTGTTGTTTGGCCAGTAACCCAAAGGACAGGGTTTAATTATGGAGTTTGGAAACCTGGCTTACTCTACTCTGCCAGCACAGGATAAAACTTCAGCCTGTCTTCCCAACCAGCATCATTCTGTACTGCTGATACCTGCGTTATCCCACGCAGCATAAAATGAACAGCATGGAGGAAATGCCAAGTCAAACAAAAAGATGGGTTTAGTTTTTAAACTTCTACTTCAGATTTCACTCAGAAGAAAGCAAAACACTGAAGCTCAGAGATTATCGTATGTTAAAAACTGTGCCACCATTTGATTGCAGATTAAATTAATGGCAAGGCCTTTTTCTGGAAATAAAGACATTGGAAAGGATGGATCTGAAAGAGATCCAGGCTCCAAAACTCCCCCTCAGAGAGGAATGCTGTGGCAAGCCATTGGGATGTTAACATCACTTGTACAGCTTTCAGGTAATCAATTGATTTTCTAGGCAGATGCCCCAGTGAAGACTCATAAAACATTGTAAAATGTGTAAACTTCTGGAGATGAAACACCCATGTCAAACACAAAGGGCCAAATCTTAGTATCAGACTCAAGTGTGATGTTTGTGCAGAGACCACAGCAGGATGTGTCCCTTGGGGGGAGCACCTTGTGCCAGTGACACTGCTGCTGCCCTGCCATGGCAGGGCACTTGAGTACTGTTTTGTCCTTCACCACTGATGAGCTGTGGCTCTTCAGGTAATCTCTCTGTCAGCCGTGCTCTTGCAGTGACCCTGTTTTACTGAGAAGCTGAGGCAATGAATCCAGAGGACAGGCTGCTGGAAAGCCACAGCAGAAGCACTGGGGTGGGGCTGCGTGGATATAGCACAAGGATGGCTTGGAAGTGCATCCCACGTGGGCAGGATAAAGCTCTTTTTCTTCACAGCTGTGACAGTGATAGATGGCTTGGTGAATCTGAGCTATATCTAGTTGGTACCTGGCTAGAGTCCCTGATGCTGCAAGGTGATTTTCTGCCATTTTGCAGGCAAGACTAAGCAGAATCTGGGATTTTTCTGTAACAAGTGAGAAAGGTCACAAGGAAGGAAGAACCTTGTCTTCTCTGGCTTGTTCTTGCCTTTCTGGGCACCTCAGGAAGTTTGACATAGGCATTTGTGTTTCTTCAGAATGGGAGCCCAGTGGTGCCAACAGTGGCAGAGGTGCTTTGGAGGTGTAATCTTTAGGCACTTCTTTTGCCCAGCTCAGCAGCAGAGTGCCACCATCTAGCCGGGACTTGGATGAGCCAGAGGTAATGACCACATGTGGAGAAAGCCACCAGAAGTGACAGCAAAATTAATAGCCAACCTCTGGCTGTTGCACAAATGAAGACCATTTGTCACTAACAATGAGTACCCCAAACTTTGGGGGGAGCTATCCCCCAGCCTGACAATGATGTAGAAGCAGTGACCCAGTCAGCTTTTAGCCATCTGTGTCTGCACAGGAGGTTGTGATCTCTCCCTTTCACTGGGCGCTGAGCTTTTGTTCATGTTTTTGCCGCTCCATGAGCAGATTGGTTTAGTACAAGGTGAAGCTCTGCCTTACATCATCTGGAACCTGGAGCTGATGGAGGAAACAGCCCCTGGTGCCTAAGGAGCAGGACACCTCACTGCAAGCACCAGAGCCCTGGGGACGGTGGTGGCAAGGCAGTCACGGGGAGCCTGGCACTTGTCTGCCTGCAGGTCCACCCTCTCCTCCTGCCAAAGTGCCACATCTGCAGTCAATAAGGGCCCACAAGCTGGCTCCTCCTCATTAGAGGAGAGAGGGCAGCTGGCAGGGGATCCTCCAAGGGCTCCCAGGCACAGGAATCAGTCCCCTCCCAGTCTGGAATAGCCCAAATTTGGTGACTTTCTGGGCATGCTGTAAAGGACAGCTGTTTGACAGGGTCTCCAGAGAAGGCTGTGGGTATGTTTCCTACATGATGAAGGATATAGGTGGCTGGCCAAGTGCCCACAGAACTGATTTTAATGCTGTTCAGGTCGAATTTACTTTTCTGTGCTGTATAGTTCATTATACACAGTGCCCTGGACAAGCATGTACCGTTTCCAAACAAACCAAACCCATACTATTTAAAATGCAAACAAACAAGAAAGAAAAAACTAAATATATTGCAAAAGATCCTCTGCACTTTTAGAGGACCTTCTCAAACCTTGGGAGACTGAAGATGTCTAACAAGTTAGACCTTTGTTATTTTTATTTGCAATAAATACTTGGTTATTTATCTGTAAGCAACACTGAGGTATTAACTTCACCTATGCACATAGCGCTGACCCAGAAAAATATTTCCAATAGTATCAAGAACCCAGATGATCTCAGGATAAGTGATCAATGGACAGTTAAGTATGTAACATAACATAACCCAAAAAAATGATCAACAAGAAAGATCACACACAAAAATTAACAGAGAAGAGGCCAAAGAGCTGCTTCCTCAACCTTCTGAAGTGTAACACCCAGTGATATCTGTTTTGATATGAAGCCTCCAATCACACTTCACAGCATTACAGATTAATAAAACAACTCCTTCTGTAAGTCTCTTAAAAGTCATTAGTAAGTGAGCTCAAGTGTTGTAAAATGCTTGAAAAGTCCTTCTACCTTATATAAGTTTTGGGATATTTATTTAAGCAGCATAACTGATGGGGCACAGCCCAGACAGGTACTGCTTTTTGCCGGAAAAAGCTATCCCAGAACTGAATCTGGACATTTTGACAGAAAAAGACGCCTATCTTTTGCTGCATTATTTAAATACCTCAGATATTTGGCCAAAACACAGATGTGACACACTACAGAAACATTCACAGCTGCAGGAGCAGTAAAACCACTACCGTATTTTCATTAGACTGACCATTTCTCAGAAGTTACAAGATGTCTAGAACTGATCACCTTTCTACACAGCTTTCTGATAACAAAACAGAGCCAAGTGGAGATGTTGTTCTCAGGCTCTGGAGAGCCATGGCTTACCTGGCTCCACTTCATGCCATCCGCTTGACTGGCTGCCGCTTCCTGGAGAGCGCCCTTGGCTTGTATAAAACGGCTCCTCACCAGGACTGTCCATCTCATCCTCCACAGACTTGAGACGTTTTGTAGAGCTGAGAAAGCAAACCCACACAATTAAGACTATCTGTATGGAAAAGGAACCAAGACACTTCTGTTGGGACTTATATTGCTAGCCCTGCTTGAGGCTAGCTTGCTAAAACAGCCTTAGGGCCCTGAGAAGGGAAGGTGTGAATCCTGCAGAGCCACCTGCCTGTCTAACCTCTCAGCATCCACTTTCTGTTTCTCATTTGCTTCCCTGCCAATGATTAAGCTTCAGTGAGATACAAAACAGTGTTTCACAGAGTCTGGACCAAACTCCTAAACATGTGCTAATTTAGCTAGAAGATGTCTACCATTTAGGCTTTTACAGCTCCAAAAGTAGAACATTTTTCAGAGCACACAGAGGTCAATAAAAGGCAAGAATTTAATTTGTATTGCATGACTTTTGCAATTTGAATTAATACGGTGATGACACACGAGACGTATTTTAACTGACAGGTTTTTTTTGCAGATTACTCTGAAAGCAAATTGTTTATCAGTTGAAATTTCTGTTTTCAATCCTTTAAATCAAACCAGACTCCAGTCTTATATGAAGAGACCATGTTGCTGGTCAAGTGAATGAGGGAAGAATCCATTCTTGGTTCAGATGTTCATGTTATCCTACAAGAATAAGCATTTGCTCTATGCCAGCAAGCACAGAAAACCCCAATAGGTATCTCTGGCCGGAGTCTGCATTAAAGGATCCCCTTGTGATACATCACACCTCCCTCGCCAAAGGCTCAGGACACAGAAGAGTCCTTTCAGTGGTCTCTGGTGGCCACTGGCTCCAGCAGTTCTGCAGGGAGAGGATCCCAGAGCCAAAGACACTCAGCTTGGCTCTGTTTTCCATAATGAGTTGCACAGACTGCGTGGGGACGTTACTGCGAATTTCTCTTCTAAGTACTTTTCCAAAGCTGGGCCAACTCCTCTTTTTTTTCCCCCGAATCTGTATTCTATTAAGACTTAAAGCATTCAAGAACAGGCTCCTCTGTGTAGGGGGAACATGTTTAACAGACATAAAAGTCTTCCACTCCAATTCCTATTGGTTTAGAACTTGCAGACTCCCCACCCCAAGCTCTGCTCAGGTAGGAGCTGGTGGGTATGCAAAACCAGTCGGTGAGAAACACGAAGAATAAGTCTTACGGTATGTGTGGAATGCAGGTTTGGCCATTCCTTAATTTAGAGAATTGTTATGTGTCAATAGGGGAAATTGTGTGCATACAATATAATTACTGCCTGATAATTCTGCTGAGTCTGTGTATTTAAAGAATTTTTTTTTTCTGACTGGGAACAGCCTAATGAGAGGAAAACAAACATATTACCAAGTTATTAACTACCCATGCTGTTTATAATTAGCTCCTTATCAGTGGTAGCTATTTGCAGAAGAATAGAAGAGCAACAACTGAGCTCTTTAGTAACATTAATAACCTCAGTTTTGCTTCTGGAGTCACCAGTAAATTCTACCTGAGAATGGTGCTAATGATGAGCACTGTAGGGTACACAGTTTAGAGGCATAAAAAAGGAAACAGCACAAAGTTTTTAATTGATGTGTAATGGGAATTGTAGTCACCAAGCTTCATAATGTGCACACTAAGTGCAAGATGTAGAATGTTCTTTCAATCACTGCAAACTGCAAGAAGTTATTGCTAAGAGCCTCTGCTTAAAGATTATTATTTTTTAAATAAAAACAACAGCTAGATTCAAACTACAGAGGTTTTTTCACACATGCACTTGCTTACTGCAAAGCTGGTGGCACTGCAGGCTGAGATAAAAAATGTAAAAGCATGTTGGGCTGGAGTTAGACTTTCTTGTCATGTCTTTGAAATAAGTGATCTATTTTGGCTGTGGGGGAAAAGAAAATCAATCTGGTTCCTTAATAGTGTTCAAGACTGCTCGAGTGACTGGGCTTGTTTATAAATCTAATCTCATGGATGATTAAAGTGAAAGGTAAAAAATAAAAAATATCCTTGTTTGATAGTTGACATCTAAGCCGAAATCAAAATCAGCCTGGGTAGTCATCTGCATTAGTTATTCAGTTTTCCAAAGGCTGAGTCACAAATTTCTAAATGCTTTATGAAAACTGGAATGCTTTATAGGCCAAGGTCCTAAAATGATGTTAGTCTCACAGGTAACACTTTCTACAATAAAGAATACATGTAAGTCTACCTTAAGACTTTCCTCACATCTCAGTATGCTCCAAATTCTCTTCTCCCACAATTGAAACTCAGCAATTCCAGTGGAACTTCTGGTACACCCAGATACAAGCCAGGAGATACTCAAGTCGACGTAGCAGATTTCCTTTGAGGCTTGTACAAGTAAAAAGAACTCTAACAGCAAAGCAGCTGAACATTCAGCTCTGCGAATCTGAAACAGCTCCACATCGTGAGACCCCCGAACAGCTTCTCAAAGAACTTAATGGTTACTTTCCCAGATGAGTATTGATGCTGGCCTGGGTTTCCAAGTAACCCGGTAGTCGGCAGAGATTAAATTACCTGGTAGAGGATGTGCTAGGTAAAGACCTCCTCATTGCTCCTGGGCTCATGCTGTAGTATGAAGAACTTTCCAAATCTGAGAGGGAGAAATTAGGGCCTGTTCCTGCAGCTATTGGTGCTGGGGAAACAAAAGAGATTGTGGTCAGTAAGTCATGTGAATATGGCATCAACTGCACTTCAAAATCACTTTCTTCTTCCTCATGAGTGTGTTTAGTTTCACAATGAGAACAGGTGGGATGAGGAAATTAGGAAACGCTAATGATAACTGGCATTGCAATTTTACCAAGAAATTAGGGCCTGTTCCTGCAGCTATTGGTGCTGGGGAAACAAAAGAGATTGTGGTCAGTAAGTCATGTGAATATGGCATCAACTGCACTTCAAAATCACTTTCTTCTTCCTCATGAGTGTGTTTAGTTTCACAATGAGAACAGGTGGGATGAGGAAATTAGGAAACGCTAATGATAACTGGCATTGCAATTTTACCAAGAATGTAATGCTACATACACTCTCTTTCTCACATTCCTCCAAAGGTATTTAAAAAAAATAATTATGGCAAAACTTTCTTTAAGCACTGCTTTTCTACTGATACCATTCTAACATTTAATGAAACTTGTTGCTTTTGCTTTTAGGAGAACTTTGCATCCCTTGGCATGGTTACAGATAGGCTGCATCGTGCAGCATAGGCAGGGAAATACACACCTCAGGACATTTGGGGTATACATGACGTACATCCACAAGCACAGAGGTTGCAAGAGCAGATGAGAAACCTGAGTTCTTTTCTTCCTGAGAACATCTGAGTTTTCCTGTGGTCTCTCCTCCAGCTAAATCAGAGCTAGAGACATATGGCTCCCAAAAAGTTCTATCCAGCAGTGAGCTTCCACTGTTCACCTCTCATCACCTTATCCAGCACCGAAGTTTTATTGTAAGGGATATGAATACCTGCAATTTCCCTGTCCTACAGCTTTGGTTTTACATTAAACATAATGAATTCCTTCACACCCTGAATAGTCACAAGCTATGAACTCCATGTGCTGTATTCTTCTAGGAACAGAAAAGGAACAGAGCAGCTTAATGTTAAAGTCAACAGAGAATGGATTTCATGGAAATATCCTCCCTGTACAGCAAATGGTACCATGTCTGCTGTTGCTGTCCCAGTGCTATTTACAGGACAATACAACTTTGGGACCTGACAATTAGAGATCATGATTTTCTCTCACATTTCAGAGCCATCTGAAAAAGGACGTCCTGCACAATGAAATGCACAAGCTTGGCCTGGGTTGTATTGTCTGAGAGCCCTGATTCACAGCCACAAAGGCAAAGCAGTCTCGGTGCCACACAAGGATGCTGAGCCAAGTTTAATCTTTGGTCTGAGAATCTGGCCCACTTTCAAACATGAAAAAATCTTTCAGTCCAATGGGGCAGGAGTGAGGAAATGAAGACAGGATAGCTCCTATCACCCAGCTAACATGTCTGGGCTGGGAGTGCTGCCATTGACTGCAACAGGGCCAATATTTCACCCCAAGTCTTAAGGAGCTCACGATGTCAGATTTGACAGAGGAATAATGTAGCTTTGCAGCTGCCTCATCATCCCCACAAGACAATTAGTTGTTGTTTGGCAAGGATCTTTTAAGAACGTCATTGAGACAACAGAAAGGGAACAGCCTGGATAGCCACAGACTTTTAAAAGCATGGGGTGGAAAATACACAATGCCATTAAAACTTGAGAAAATCTGGAATGATCATTAAAAGGAGTTAAGCTGGGAAGTAATTTATGACAAGAACATTCAAATCCTTTGTTATCTTCTCTTAACTATCATACGCTTCCTGCACACTGGGTATATGAGAGGGTGTGTTAACAGAGAGAAAAATTAAACACAGTAAAATTAACTTGTTTTATCAATTTGTGCTTTCTGCAACAGTTTCCTGACAGCAGCTACAAGAGGCTGTAAAACTGATGAATTTGCATGGAAAAAGAAACCGGTGTAAGTAATTTGTGTAAAAGGTAACAGGGACATGGACTGCTATAATTCAGACACCCTGCAGATAGCAGACTGCTGCAGTGTGTGCAGTTATGGGTTAGAAAAATGACCACACTGCAGTCAGTCTGACTTGAATGGAAATCAATCATAAAGGTACTCTCTGCAGCATCTACTCCACAGTTTTCAGCAACTTCCTTGCCAAACAGATTTGTGCTCTGCAAACCCTTTCCTGAGCAATTCCTCTGCACCCCCTATCTCCCAAAGTCCAACTTACAGATTAAGGATACTATTTTCCAAACAGGAGCATAAAAAGGCAAGCACTAAATTAAAGCACTGTTTTCTTTCTGAGGCACAATGAATTTCCTGGGCATTGCCAGATTTATGAAACAGTTTTATTCCAAACAGATATGGAAGAAAAACTGTTCTGTGGATAACACATTTCTTCCTCTCACCCCTTGTGTTTATTGCCCTCTCTTGAAATCCTGGTTATTTCTTGAGTTGGCCCTATAGGAAAATGGAATCTGTCTCCAGAGCAGGGGTGGGGTAGGAGCAGCCACAGCTAATGCTGTGTAAACTCAATGCAAAGTAGAATGGTCTGATCACACAGGGATTGCTGCCTGGCTAGCAAACATGAAGGATGCTTTGCTGGTCACAGGCCAAATCACCTTGCCACGCTCAAAAGCCTTTTTTGCAACCAGGGGGTTAAAGAACAAAACCCACCTCTAATATATACCAGCAGAGGTTAAAGTGCCTGGCTGGGCTGTGAAGGCCAGTACCTGAACCCCTTGGCAGTCCTTGCACAGGATCCACCACCCTGCCACCAGGAGCTCAAGGCCTCTGACCCCAGAAGTGCTGTGGCAAAGGTTGCACAAGGCTGAGTTGTTCCAAATTCCCTTCTCCTGCCTGCCTGACAGGGACAGGCTCAGTGCCTGTCTTTCATCAAAGACTATTTGTACCTTTGCTCACAGTTACCACGGCAGGGGAGTTGGAACAAGATGGGCTTTAAGGTCCCTTCCAATCCAAACCATTCTAGGATTCCCAGCAGCTCTCAAGCATAATCAAAGGGATCAAAGTGGTGCAAACTCTGGCAAAACTCTGTCTAAACTAAACCTTTTCATTGCAGCATATGACAATCCACCACAAAACCTCCCTACCCCTGTTCCTATGCCCTGGGAACATGCTACAGCCCCACGAGAATCAGCAGCAAGGCTGGGAGCTCCACTCCAGCACAGTCAGCTGTTCTACACTGCAGGCTACACAGACTCCAGGCAATGACATTAAAAACACACCATTTCCCCCCATAAGAAATACTCTGCAGCAAAGTGACCTTCTGACAGCTCAGGAACATCTCCTGAACAGGAAAGAATATCAGAAGCTGCAGCTGTGAGTCAAAACAAAAGCCTCCACCTCCATCCTGGCACCAAGATGCCATCTGAACCCAGGGCTCTGAGCTGGCAGGGGTGAGGGGAAAGGACCCCTCTTCCCCCAAGACCCAGCCCACAGCTCCCATTTCAGCTGCTGTCATCACAAAAAAATCCCTATGCAGATAGGACATGCTTGGAGGAGCAGGAGGAGCTGGTTTGCCCAAAAGAAGGAGGAGGAAGGTGGGTGCCTCTGCCTGCACACTGTGCTGTTCTTGGGATGCAGGGCAGCATTGCCCTGCTGCCAGCCTGCTCCCTCCACTGCCAGCATGTCAGCTCTGCTCCTCACCCAAAGCATCAGGAAAAATAACAGAGAAATTAAGGAAAAGCCCTCTGACTTAACCCAATTGGAATATTTATTTTGAAAAATTTATTGAATTACAGAACAGGAAACCCACTAAATAAAACCAGCCAGGCTGGCATTTGTCCCCCTTGGAATATGGTACTTTCTTTTAGTCTCGTTAATACTTAGTTTGTCTCTTTTTCCATTTTTATGTATTTATTTTTACAGAGGGGCTGGGATGTGACTAAGATCATTACATGTGTAACACTGCAGTGAAGTGATAATGTGTTTAAGGTTAAATGGGAGAAACATGACATTTGACTAATAAACTTTTTCCTGTGCTGTGACTCCATAAACAAAGGGAAACACACTGTGCTGCTGCTGCTTCTGAGAGGAAAGGGGAGCTGGGTGTTTTTTCTTTTTTTTTTTTGCAAGGCCTTTGTTTTCTCCTCACTGTATCATTAGATTCAAAGAGGTTTTGCCGAATACAACAGATATGAAATGTGTGATGTTCATTTTAAAATTACAAGTACAGCCTGCTATTGACCATCTAATTATGCTGAGTTCCATTTATAAACATAGCTAACCACTAAGTTTATAGAGACTTTTTGTGCTGCTTTAATAGGATATTGATCGAGAGCAAGGTTTGAGTGGACTGCCATTGAATTGTGTAATGGCATACAAAAGGCAAGGTCACGGCAACTGTTCACTCTATGCCTGCAGTCTATTTTTTATTATAATCTTTTTTTCTCCCTCTCATACCCAAGCCCACACAGTGAGTTTTGGATAGCAGTGCTTTGCTAAGGAATATAGAGTATCTTTTTAAATGTTAATTTTCATGCTGCTGACTTTAACTGCCTTCACTACTGTAATGCTTAGTATAGCAGAAAACATACAGGCTACTGTTCAGAGAGAGCTGGTTTATCACACCCTGGCTCTCACACACGTGCTCTGTGAGGAGGAGGAGAGACTCTCCTCCTCTCCTGGGCTACAAGAAGGCATCCACCTGCCCAGCCCAGCCCCACAACAAGAGCCAGGGCACCCCACACCTTGCCACAGGCATGCAGGACATGCTGGGGTTCACAGGGTTTTCCCTGTGGTTTGTTCCAGCTGCCCCTGGATGAGAGGCATGAAGAAGATGTGTTTCCTCTGTCACATCCACAGTCCATGCCCGGCGCACCGGCAATCACTTTCATTCTTAGCTCTTGCTCTCACAGCAAGGACAGCTTCAGCTCCTGCCTCCATCCCCAAAGCTCCATGAATGAAGCCTGGCACCTGCCACATTGGTGTGGCAGGATCCCAAGCTTTCCAAAATGTCTTGGCCACAGAAGCACCTCTTACTTGTGGAATTACTGTAAGTGTTTTAGGGATAATCAGCTGGACCACTTCTGTGTTTACACAGGAGCAGTGAGCAACTGCAAGGTACATGAGTGTGTTTGTGGTGTCACCAGCCCATTAGAAGGATTGAAAGTCACCCCAGTTGCTCCTCACTGCACACAGCCAACATGCTAAACCTCAGTGCGTGGCATTTTCAGGCCAGGGTGCAGTCAGAATTCCCTTGTTTATCAGCACGAAGAATGATGTCATTTTGACAAATAACACACCACCAAACAAATATGTTTGATTTGGCTCTAGCCAGTGTTCATAAATCCTAAATCTTTCTTCACATCCTGGGCAGTGCAGTTTATCTGGCTGCTTGAAGGACCTCCAAGGGAGGAGATCATCCCAGCAGCTCTCTCTGCACAAGGGCACGTGGTGCAGACTCAAAGCCAAGAGGGGAATGTGTTCCCCATGCCTTACTCCTTGCTCCAGTCTGCCATGACCTCCCAGCTCCTGACAAGGGAAGGGGACTGAACACTTGGCACCATAGTCACCCCTCTGCCAGCACCTTCTGCAGAGGGTCTTCTCCAGTGCTCAGCAGGTAGTTGCCCACAGCCAGTGGAATATTTTCCTAAGAAGGGAGAAAGGGAGAAGGTTTTGCTTGGCCAACAGCTGGCTGTCAGTCCTCAAACACATACATCTCTGACGCTTCTGCTTCTGAGCCTTTGTTGTCAGCACAGACCTCTCTAGAGAGGGAAGAATGAAGTCTCTGTTATCTGGAGGGGTCTCCCCACTATCTGGGGTGACAGACAACACTTAGAGTGGAGCTCACACCCTCTGCCTGCTAATAATGCAGGAGAACTGACAGCATGATCTGCAACACCCACATCAGATGGGGTGGAGAGGAGTCTTTGTTTTTCAGATGAACATCTATGATGTGGTGTCTGTTTTACTAGGCTCTGCAAGATTCAGCAGCTGGGCAGCACTTCGAAAGAAAATCTGCTTCTATAGGACTGAAGAAAGCAAGTTTCTGTTACCAATGCAGTCTAGACTTGTTCAATAGCTCACAGAAAGTGTGATGATCAGCACTGATAGGTAAGATAGATAACAGTAAGAGCTGACCTTTTGCTTGATTAATTCATTCCCCAAATCTGCATGATGGAGACAAGTGCCTCTTACTTGAGACTCCTTGTCATGTGGACCTCTGGGAACTTTACTGAGTAAACCTGGCACAGAATTGCCACCAACAATATTCTCTAAGATTAATTTTAGATAACAGCAGCCCCAGGCCAGTTAAAACTGGGGGAAATAACTTATTTCTATCGTTATATTATCAAAATAAAGTGTGGAAAGGAACATGACAGTGGGCATACACAAAGATGACCTCTTTGGAAAGAAGTCTGTTCTCAAATCAGGACACAAGAACATGCAGACAACACAGCAAGGGTTATATTAACTTTACAAGACCTTGCCTGCCAATTTAGGCAAATATGCAGCAATTACTTTGTTGCTCTGTTATGTTAAATAATTCTTTGAATATGAGAATTCATCCTGGGTTTGCTGGGAATTTGCTGCTAGACTTGACACTAAACATATCCTACTGGGTAGCCAGGGCATGTCAGGCTGTGGGCTTCTCAGACCTCATAAAGTAAACAAGGTTATGGCTGGTCAGTACATGTCTGGGGCATTTCCAAGGAAAATCCAGGGTGCTATCAAAAGCAGTGTAGCTAAATCAGTTGCTGGCACTCTTCCCTTTGAGTCAGTTCTGAAGTGATATCCCGATATGCTTTGGGGGCACTATTTTTGGTGGAGGTGCTGGCTTGTAGACAGGATATAAAACTGAGGTCCTGACCTCCCAGGAGTATTAAAGACCCCATGAAAAACTGTGCAAACCCAAGTCCGGAACAGATAAAAGCTGAATCTTTTCATTTTTCCCACCAAGCCCTTCTTTCTTATTTCCAATAAAGTTTGTGCTCTTCCTTCATGTAGGTGCTCCATCCTTGAAGGTGGTGCACTTCAACTGCAGGCAGAGGGAACATCTCAGACACAGCTCATAATTTGCAAAACATGCTGAGAGCTAGGATTTCTGATACCCAGTGTTTTAGCTTAGTTACAATAAAATATCAGGGGAAATTAATAAGCACTGAAACATGACACTCATGAGGTCAATGCCAAGCTCTGGGGAGGCTGGGAAGGCTCCAGTCCTGAGTGGGGCACTTTCCTAGCAGCCTTGTCCTGTGCACACATGGAGCACGGCTGACAGAGTCCAGAGGCAGCTCTGCTGTGTAGGGCTCCTACAGTGAAGATAAGATTGTGGTGAAGTGGGATGCCTTGCAGAGGGGGAGGGTGAATCCTTAGGGCTTCAAAAGCCTTACGCTGTCACGCTGAAATAAAGTGACATAACACGGAGCTGTTCAAAGCCTGGCAATAACTCGGGTTTGTCCACCCTGGCTGCAGGTACCAGCAAGTCTGTGTACTCAGTACAGTGAGTTGGATGTCAAAATTCCTAGTTAAGCACTTTAGTAAGTGAACTGATTTGCAAATGTGCTGAGCACTCAGCAGCTCCTCTTGACTTCTAAGTCCTCTTAACTTTGTCCTTCTCTCAAAATTCCCAACAGTTGTCAGGGAACAAAACTCAGGAGAAATGTTTTCTTCAACCTTTTTCTCTCTCTGCCTGTCTCCAAGCACATAAAACTCTGACATTAATCTATCTCCCACTTGCCATGTTTGCCTTGTAGCATCCTATTTTTGAATATAAAGCCAGTTTACTAGCTAGTGTATGCCTTTCCAAAAGAGGAAATAAAGCAGGAAAATCCTTACAGAAACTTTGTGTTCTGACTCAAAACCACAGACTCTCTGCTAGATTTATGCCAGTTAGATTCCAGCCCCAGAAGGGCTTAAACTGCATGCTCAGAGCCAGTACACACATAAATAGTTCCACTATCAAGGAGGAGAACCATTTTTATCACTGTTGGTGCTAAAGAGATTGGTTACATACCCTAAGGTTTTAAAGGGGCACATAGCCGAGGGAGTCACCTGGAGCAGTGGTGATTGGTGACAATGTGATGTTACCCCACAGCTCCACTCTAGCTGGAGAAAAGATCATAGAATGATTTGGGTCAGAAGGGACATTAAAGACCATCTTGTTCCACCCCTTGCCATGGACAGGGACACCTTCCACTAGCCCAGGTTGCTCCAAGTCCCATCCAACCTGGCCTGGAACACTCCCAGGGATGGAGCAGCCACAGCTGCTATGGACAACCTGTGCCAGTGCCTCACCATCCTCACAGGGAAGAATTTCTCAGATCCCCAAAGGACTAGTACTTAAAGTCCTGGCTTAGCAGTAGTCTTTCTGCAAGACACTGTCCATACTCTCTCCTTGGACTATCTGGATTATGTCATAGCAAAATACAATCAATGCACCTTTGATCAATGGAACAGGGTGGTGACAGGTACTCTTAATTCACTGTTGTTAGTGAGCATTGACAAGTCTGTAATGATCATGCTGCAGTGTGTCATTCATGCTGGGGGTATTAGCATTCTTTAAAGGTCAAAAAACAAATCCTTCTAGAAGACAGAATTCCATACAGTTAATGGAAAATGTGGGCCTGGTGAAGTTGAGATGTATGAGATTATCAGGGCTGAAGTTGGTACAGTTGTTGGAATTATTAAGGACTTCAGCAATTTGCAGGTGTACAAAACCACAGAATCACAGAATCACAGAATATCCTGAGTTAGAAGGGACTCACAAGGATCATCAAATGACCCTGGACAAGCCCAAGGACCATGCACAAATATATGAATGCCTGGCAGGGATGAACACAATGTGAAAAAAACAGCATAAGAAAATTTCCAAGCTTATGTGCACAGATCTGGTAATTTCTAGAGGTCTTGTTAAAATACAGCCCAAGGGATTCACAGGAATCTGATGTCTCTAGGCATTTATCTACACTCTGATATGCAGTCTGCCCATTTTCAGCTGGGTACCAGACAAACTTATCATCTTGCACATTCAAGTATGCAGAATCAATTTTTTTTTAAAATTTACTTTCAAATTCTGCTATTTTATTTCCCCCCATTAAAAATGTGGCACATAAACACTGTCCACTGGCAAGGAGAGGGGAGAAGAGAGCCTTAATTTTCGATATGCTGTTTCTGAATTGGGGAAGGGATACAATAGGATCAAAGCAAAAAACAAAACTGGGATTGCAGAAACCACATAAACCGGCCACAAAATGATACTTACTTTGTGAGACTCTTACTAGCTCAGTCACACTGAAAACACCTGATGTGACAAAACTGTCCTGGAAGCCCAAATGTCCTACGAAACAAACAGAGTGAGAGAACTGCGATTAGCTTTAAGCATTTAATGACAGTATTCTCAAATACTTTACTTTCATTTAGACTTAAAATGTGACATCTAATTTCCCACTTAGCGGTAATTATTGTTTATGTAGGTGGGTAACTAGTCATACAGCTATGTAGGCTGCTTTGTGGTTTCTATCTAGAGGTTAGGAAAGCTAACATGACACATCAGCAGGGAGATTTTTACATGTTAAAGCATCTCAACAGGAAATCTGAAACAAAAGAGGACTATTTTAATAAACGGTTACCTTGGATGACCCCTAATGACTTCACAATTGAAATGAAAATACTGTACCTAGGAAACAGACAGGACAGCTAAGTTCCATAATCGTTTTAAACATTATTCTCTAAAGAAACATCTGATCAGGATTATCTACCCATTCATTCAAACAAAACAAGATTTAAAGATGTAGTCTTCATTTTTCTAAGGTTACACCAGAGACCCTAAAATAGGTTAAAAGAATTTAAATGAAGGCCTTTCCCACCAAAAAAATACTCTAACATTTGAAACTAGGTTTTGAAAAGAGAAATAAAAAAAAAGAAAAATAGATCTCTGTGTAAGAAAAGTATTAACTTCGTGCTGTGGGCTGTCTGTAGGAACCGGAGCGGACGCATCCACGCTCGCCTCCCTTGCGCAAGGAATGCCTCTACGCTCGGTATCAAAATGTTATTGCACTTTACATAACAGTATTTTCCTTCTTCTCTGCAAACATGCCTACCACCAAATGTTCATTTAATTTTCACGGGTATGATCAGTGACAAAAGGAGCAGCACTCAGGCTGCAGCCCAGTGCGAGTGCGAGGGGTGGGACACGGCAGCTCACGCAGGACAGAGCTGGGCTTCAATTAGAGAGAGGTCTGCAGTGAGCCGGCCAGGCTGACCTCCCGCTTTTGAAATCAGGGTCAAAGGAGAAATCGCAGGATAAAGAGATTATTAAAAGAACTGTAAAGTCCTACTTGCTCACAGGATAAGTGGCATACCTTTTTAGGTTGTCCTACTTAGAGTCAGTGATTCCGGCGCACGCACACATATATTATTGAATGTTTTGCAGGGGCACCATCTGCTCCGTCGTTAATTGTTTGTCAGACTCAGTGCGATTTCCCTGCATTCCACATATTGTACTGTACCCCACGCTCATCCCAGGAATACCTGTGCCTTCCTCTAATGACCAGAGCAACAGGACTCCAGCTGCACCTTTGTTCTCCTGCCTTTGTTTTGGGGTTGTTTAAAAAGCCCCAGCATATCCCACTGCCATTTCTACCTGTGGAATGGGATGCAAAAGAATCAGATCTTGTGCGCAGGACTACAGAGGGTGGCATGTCAGGGAAAGGTTTGGGAGAGATCTGGAGCCAAGATCTCTGTGAATTCTGCTCCTACACAGAAGAAGTTCCCTGTTTCTGCGAGGAGCCCACGGTGCCAGATGAACGCAGTCGCTAAGCTAACAGACTCGAGACAAGTTTCTACATCAGGCATGTTTTTATACTTCAGCAATAATGATGAGTTTTCAAACTGTGTATATGTATATCTTTGGGCATCCTTGTGTATGTGTGTATACATATGTATTATGTACACAAACATATAAATATACACAAATCTGTCATGCTCCAGCTGTAGATAAATGTACTATAAAATATTGAAATTGATGCTGAAATTCAACACAAACAAATTCCTCAATCTGCAAACAAGGTTTTTATTTACATCAAGAGAATAAATTTTTCTCTACTTCAAATGAAAAAAAATGTGCTTATGAGCTTTTATTTATCCTTATTTTCAACTTAGAAATCATTCTCAGATAGCTGTAAATGCTTTTGCCTGATCTTCTTTGTGTTTGCCCACAATAAAGGTGATGACTACCTTGTTCTGCTTTTCAGAGACGGTTGCTGGCCATACACAACGTTTGTTCATTGATGATTTCCCAAGTATTTTTAATATGAAGATCTACTTTTCATATGCTGCAGCAGACCTGCCTATTGAATTAAATGATCTGTGAATTTAAAATAATTCTCTTAGGTCTTCACTGAAACCACTCATGTGCCTAAAATTAAGCATATGCTTAAGTGCCTTGCTGGATCAGGGCCAGGCCGCTTACTACTCCGCAGAGCCCTTCGGAGGGAAGCCAGTCTATGCTATATAACTTCTCATACTGTGCTCATCATGGCAGTATCTGAGCAACTTCCAGAAGTGCATCCAGCAATGCCATGAACATCTGTCACGTGTTGTTTTTTCACGGCGCACCACACTGGCTCTGCTCTGGTGTCCACTCCCACCTGCATTTCTCAGGCAGGTTCCTACTGCACGAAGAGTGAAGGTGAAATTTAAATATGGAAGAAAAAAAACCCCTAAATCACAGCCACGGTAGGACATTTGGCTGAATTTTTTAAAGGAAACTCTAGAGCCCTGTGATTGTTGCACAGCTAACGGTGTTACCTTAACCTGGCAAACACAGGTAGAACCTGAAATGAAAATGCCATTTTAAATACAGTCCCACTCTCAGGGCATGAGAGGAGTGTAATAAGTTCTCTTGGGCCCACTAACTTCATTATTCCTAGTTTGGGTGTACTTGAAATGTCCACTCACTTCTGCAGGACCATCCCTTATGGGTGCACATGTAATAGCAATCATTAAACAGCAGCATGCAACGAGTGTGATTAGATCTTCATCCTTCAATACTGCAAATAAACATTTCACAAATGAAAGGTGAATTTCACAATTCTCCAATTTGATATTTGCTTATAAACATTAGGAAATCAGGGGCTCGTCTCGCCAATCATTAATAGTAGCTTCATGCCCATAAAGCAATGCCCTTGGCTTGGAGCTGTATCATGATTTCATTGCAGTGCACAGTTGGACTGCGAATTTGCAGTTCAGTACAACCCCATGAAAGTTTAAAGGTTTGCCTGGATGGCTCAGATTGCAAAATCCACATTCTGAGACTGTCACTTTTTGCTGAGCTAGGATAACAATGTGACAAAAAAACTCAAAAGAATGGGACAAACAAGCTAGATGTGTAAAAGAAGAATGACTGGGAAATGGCAGCATTGAGAAAATATGTGAAACAAACATTTTGTGCCTATTAATGGAAAATTCCAGTTTGGCTGTTCCACTTAATTCTCAATGAGAAAAAAAATAGGTAAAGTCAAGCAATTACATATGCAGATGTTAGCATTAACAAGCTCCTTTACTGAAAAGATGATTAAACATCTTGAAGGCTCACAAGATTTACTTTTTGTACAGCACTTCACTGGAATAGGTGTGCTGTGATTGTTTTACTCAGTATCTCAAAGACAGGACATTGAAACTGCTGCATATGACAGGTTATCTCCCCAGCTTTGTGCAACAGTCACAGTTTAGTAGTAGAGCAGGTGTTCCAAATGAACCTAGCAGAGTTCATTCACTGAGATTCTGGGTACAAATGCAGACACCTGGCTAGCCAAGGCAGGCCCTGACTCAGCAAAGCTTTTGGAGCATGTGCTTCATTTTCATCACATGCCTGACTAAAGCACATGCTTATTGCCCTGCCAGATAAAGATGGCCTGACAATGTTAAGGAGGAATTAAAATGTATTGTTGAATCCTTCCTTCAACCCAAGTCTAGGTGGAGGTAGGAGTTAGCCTCACTCTGGCTCACGAGGATGATCATTTTTCCCCCAAGGAGGGAAAGACCCCACACTAGTAAGACTGAATTCAATAAAACAGATCAGGATAGTAACTAATAAATCATATGCTGTTACCCAATCAGATGTTTGGTATCGTGAACAAACACAGTGCAACACCACAGTACCAGGCACCACATGAAAAACATCTTTCCATAACTTGATGACTGCTTTAATTGGGGAGAAAATTCATAATGCAATTTACATATTCTTCTTTTAGATCCCCAGTAAAGAAGCCAGAAGAAAAGGCTTGAATTGCTTGAGCCTAATTCTGATCTCAAAGAAGTTTTAAACAAGTCTTTCTACACTGATCAAATAGAGTTTCACCTCATTTTCTCCTAATTTACACTGGCAGAGGAGAAATCAGGATTAGGACTTGTTGTCTAGTGCTATTTGTTTTGAATTATTAAGCAAACATTCCTATTTCAATGAGTAAACGTGTACAAAGGCAACTAACCTTCGTCCTAAAATCGAGTTTACAGGGAGAGTATTGTCTGCTTTCCCAATTAATGCTGTAAAAAGGAGTCTCAGACGTTGAGCTACCAATCAAGAGCTTGTGTTGTAGCTTGAGAAAATCATGACTGATGCAATTACTTTTATGTAGAAAGTCTGAATATGGTCTATAGGTTAAAGTTCATCGGGTTATTGTTCCTTAATTGAATATCAGAAGATGTTTTCAAGGTGCTCAAGGTATTATTGTTATTTAATTAGCAGGCTTCCTTGTGTAATCCAACAGTATTATTTTTGCTATAAAATAGTTAGATTGCACCACAACTATACAAGGTCTTTTCTGAACAGAGATGCAGCTGTTTTCCTGAAATCCAAGCTTAAATAAAACCGGCAGAGAGTCACTCCTTTGAAGATGAAGAAGTCCAAATCCAGTTATTTCTCTTCCATTGCAATCTGCGAGACAATGTATTAAGCTTCAGAGAACAGCTTTTTGGGAGACTTTGATTTCTTTTCAGCGTTTTGAAATTACACAAGTCCCCCAAACTAGCACTGAACCCATTTCTAAAGCCTTTTTCATGTTCAGCATCTCACTATACATAGCCATCTTAAAACCTTAAAATAGTAATAATCAATTAGGGTCTCAAGCCTATTATCTTAACCAAATGCCTGATTAAAAGAAAAGCCCTCTCTGCTCGAAGTGCAACTTGATTCCTTCTGGTTTTATCCTCTATCTAGATAATCCCATGTTTCACAAACAATGCCGAGCAATAATGTTGATGAGAAAATTAATGTCTGTATCACACAGCACATGCAGGCCTGGAGAGAGGGGATGTTATCAGAGGGAACCCGGCTCA